CCTTTCTCTTGTATGTGGCCTTCAATTTTATTTTATTTTTTTCAAACACACATGTCAATGTATTACAATTTTCTTCTGGTTTGAGCTATAGATTTTTGAATTGAGAGTGTGTGCATCTCTCCGGGACCATCACATGGCAAGTGTCCAAGGCCATGATTTTATGCATACCATGATATTGTTTTTCTTGTTTTTGCAGGTGTTAGATGGACAAGAGTCTAATGGTTTTGAACAATTGATAGAACCTTTGAAGTACCATAGATGTGTAATCACTGTATATCATCTTTTCCTCTTCATTTATACTTAACACACATCACTGCTTATGTCTTCATATTTTGTGTTAGTTTTCCAATATCAGATTACTGTCTACCTGTATCTGTAATTATTCCTTGCCAACTAATTCTAAATTTCTGGCATACTAATGCTATCTGTTCATAAATGTCTCTAAGTTTGGATCTTCCGGAACGCTGATTCAGAAGACATTGTCTGAAAATGGTCTTAGCATTCCCTGTATCAGAGCAGTAAATCTGAAGGGCGCAGTTAGCTGGGCTAGGAGGATGGCAGAACATGGTATGTTCCATCATTGCTATAAACTGCCACAGAATCTGTTTCCATGTCTTTTATATGCAAGTCCGCGCTGCCTTTTAGTAACTTTAATATTGTGTAATAGCGTATTAGCAGGTTCCCAATGAAATTTCTAAAGTCACTGCTTTGCTGGAGCATTGTTTGAAGAGTTGCTTCAATTTTGAAATTGTTTCAGTATAAAATCAAAACATTATATTTGGATAGAACTAAGTTTCCTCCTCCGTTTTTAGTTACAAAATGAACCACAAGAAACAATATATGGTGTGGAAATTATCAAGGATTTCTATCAATCCCCAACATGTACCTCCATTGTTGAAAACTCCCCTTCTAGTTTTTCTCTACATATTATAATTTTGGCGACACAAAGATATGGAACTTAATTAATTTCTTTTCTCATTATTGCAGGGGACACTATTGTACTAAGTCCAGGTTGTGCAAGCTTTGATGAATTTAGAAATTTTGAGCATAGAGGAATGTTTTTCCAGGAGCTGGCCTTCTCATCATGTTAACTTCTAATTCACTTATTTATCTGAGTCACATAAAAATGTGGAAGATGAAGCTTCTTTTAAATTAAAATGTAAATTTCGAAAAGGATCAACGTGGGTTAACCCAGTTGGCCAAGGCAATGAGCTCGCCCCTTGCACCCCAATGTTTCGAATCCCTCCCTATAAATTAGTTTAATTTAGAGTAATTTAGACTATCACTTGTAGTTGAAATTATCGTTGAGAATGAGCGTTCTCTTAAAATAATAGTGATGAAACATGCATGGTTGTCAAAATGCATTCCATACTCTAAACCTCAATTGACAGGTTTTCTGTTGAACCTTTGCGTTTGGACAGAAAAACATCTCCTAATGATGTTTGCAAAAACTCCGAAAAAGTAATGTTTCGGTCTTGACATTCTAATCCTCACCCTTTGAAAATTAGGCAAATGATATGCAGACTCTAAACTAAAGCCAACCCTAAACCCAACATCAACAATATCATTTGCACACAAAAAAACAATATATGCATTTGGCTTAAGCAAATGACAAAAGAGACGATAAGTAAATACAGAAAGAGGTGCTCTAATCATATGCAGTAAAGATGGCAGAGGCTTTGGCAAATATTGG